TTTGGGGATTTAGGGATTTAGGGATTTGGGGATTTAGGGATTTAGGGGTGTAGAAATTTGGAAATTTCAAAATTTCAAAAATTGTGAATTTGGAATCTTAGAAATTTGGGGATTGGGAAATTCTGATACTAGGGAAATTGGAAACTTAAGATCTAGAGGAATAAAAAATTCGCAGACTTGGGAATTTAGTAATTTGAGAATTTGGAAATTTGGAAAATGTAGAATTTGGTAATTTGGAAAATTTAAAATATGGAAATTTGGAAAATTAAAAATTTGAAGTTCCCGCCAAACCCGAAGACGAGTAGTCGAACACTCCTACACTAGTCCTAACCCAAAGGAAGTCCCTAAGTCACCGTCTTTAAAATCGCGTTCAATTTATAAACCGCGTCTAACCGCAGAGAACTACAGTCGTGTTTTTGGCATCAGTCGCGTATAATAAAATGTAGAAAAATCTATATTTTATTAAATCGTGCATCGACGCGCACTGTAAATTCTTTTTGTTGGATAAAATCGACGAAAGATAAAGCTTACAATTTACGTAGGTGTTTTTCTTGTAAGTACGTTATTCTCCATTAAATTCTATATCGAGTATCAAATCCGAGACACATCGAAGAGAGATTTTTATCTACTGAACCAGCTATTCAATCAACTATCCGTTTTTTCCCATACGTTTATATAAACCGCTATAAGCTCAGAATATAATATATATGTATATATAATAAATATATGTATATTAGATGAATTTATCGAGGGTTCTTCCCAAACGTGGATACAAAGAGTTTTAAAATGGAGACAATTCGAGTAATTTTCGCTTATTCACTTTCTATATTAATGCACGTGGTATATGATTACAAGAAAGATAGCCTGAAGTGAGCTGCTCCAGTGAGCCGAAAAAAATCAGAAGATACAAAGTAAGCGTTGACGGCACGACAATGTCAGTTTTTCCCAAAAGAAAATGCAACAATCTCTTATCGTATGTACTTATCAATTAGTATTATTAATAATGCGTTAAAGTAATCGATTATTATAAGACGTTTAGACAAGTTTTAAGAGGTTATATATATGTATATATATCGATATTAGCTTAAACAAGATTTTTGTACTTTCTTAGAAAATTGCATAGCACGAGTAACTAATTCAGCGTTTTCTAACAGAAATCATAAAAGGTCACTGCGATTGTGGCGCCATTAACACCGACTTCAAGCACGAACGATCGCTTCCGACCGTGGAAACTATGAAAATTCCTAGATCCATCGGGTAACGTTAAAAAATATACCGATTCCAGCTATCAATTGCGAGCTAACCTGTCGCTATTAACGCATGCGAAAGTAAGTACCGGAAATTATTGTCATCCGTATATTTCTAGAACTCGTTAACTAACTAATCGTCATCTAACGTAGGACATCAACGGAGAGAACGACGGTGTGCGAAGCGCGGATATTACAGTTACGATTCGTTAGATTAAGATCATCCGAACATGGAAAGACTACGATTGGAAAATTTATTGTTCACGGATGACGGATTTACGGATATTCGACTGGATTCAATATGATTGCAAGTTTAGTAATTTCAAGATTAGGAAATTCAGAAATTGGTAAAATGATTGTTTGCATTTTCCTCTTTGGGAAGTAAGGAATTTGGGGATCTAGGGATTTTTAGATTGGGAGATTCTAGGGTCTAGGGACTTTGAGATAGAGGGATTCAAGGATCTAGGAATTTGGGGGTATAATTTGGGGATTTAGAACTTTCAGGATTTGGGGATTGGTGGATCTGGGGATTTGTAGGTTCAGGGACTTGGGGATTTAGGGATTTGGGGCTATAGGGATTTGAAAATATAGTAATTTGGGAAAGAAGGGATTTGGGGAATTAGGAACTTGGAAATATAGTAATTTGGGAAAGTAGGGATTTGGGAATATAGAGATTTGGAAATATAGGAATTTGGGGGTTTAGGTATTTGGGAATGTAGAAATTTGGGAATTTAGAGATTCAGAAATACAGTAATTTCAATATATGATTTGGAACCTAACCTAACCTAAATGAAACTATGATTCGGAACTTACCCTAACCTAAATAGATTTAAAATTTAACCTAACCTAAATGTCAATATGATTAACCTAACCTAATCCTCAGTCGAATATCCGCTCATTCCACCATCAAGTACTATGAATCTATTGCACGATTAATTTCTATGGCCGCTCTTTTCAACTAAAACTTGAAGGTGATCGAACATTCGGATGATGGGTAATATTACACCACAGGCACGAAACAGTCCAACTAACAGCAGTCGTCCCTATTCGGTAATCACGTAATAGTATTTTATTTTTTCTTTTTTATGTGTACGTATATTTAATAAATTACGATTTGCACTATATACTTCGTTCGTTAGCACTAGTGTCGGTATTTCTTTTCATCGGAGCGCTGAACAGCCACGAAGCGAACATTTGACGTTCTACAAACGTGACACGCGTGTTTCGAGTAAAAATTTGTTACCTTTTAGAAGAGATAGGCACAATCGATGGCAACGATGAACTTTCGGGAAAAAAGTGTCTCGCGCGTTGCTTCGATCAGTCGTTCTTGGATCGTTAACCCTTTGAGTGCTCTTGACGCATATATACGTCCTATAACTATGACTTTCATCTCTTAGCGTTATTCTCTAAATAAAATAATTGTTAATTGTTATGACAACAATTAATAATTGTTAATTAACTCTTACTGCCATTAATTACAATTTGAAAATATATAATTTGAGAGATAGTATCAACAAATTATGATTATTAATATTTAAACATCATACACTTATTATAAAATCACTAATAGTACTTTGAAAATTTTCAGGTGAAAATTTAATAAGTAATGTTACCGACAGTGAGTTAACAACGTTATCGACAGAGGAAATTTCGTGAGTTAGGAACGTTACCGACAGAGAAAATTTCATGAGTCAGCAAGGTTACCAACAGTGAAAATTTCGTGAGTCAACAACATTACCGACAGTGAAAATTTTGTGAGTCAGCAAAGTTACCGACAGAGTATATATAAAATACATAGAATTAAAAAATTATTTAAATACACTCAAAGGGTTAAATAAACGTTCCCTTGATTCAACGAGTTTTTTCCCCCACAGTTTCACTAAATGGCATCATCTACTACTAACTGTTCGGACACTTCAGGAGTTGATTTACATACATCAGAAATTCTCCTGCGAACAAACGAAATTCCACGAACACCTAATCGTCGCTTGAATAATTGAGGTAGAATTATACACGGGTAAATTCGGGTACGCTAAGAAATGTCGATGAATGGAAACGGAAAATAATAATCCGCGAGCTTGAATATTAAGAAGCTTCCTCGAAGCGTAATATGACCGTGATTACTAAGAGCGTGTAACTTCGAGTTATTGTTAAAATTATTGTTACATATCTAACGATATTATCGATACATGTTACACTTACGAACTGATTCTATCTAACGACTAGAAACCCGATCTATGTGTACTATCACCACTGGTTTACGTTTATATACGAGATGCGAACTCCATTTTGGACAGGAAACAACGAAGTCGACCTAACGCGAAGCTGTGTCTGTAGATCTCCTATTTATCCCTGAACATCTATCAATTACTGCAGATTCTTAATCAAAAAATCTCTACAGACTTGAAACTTCTGATGTTTAATTATAAAATGTCTTTAGTCTTGAAACTGCTGATTTTTAATTAAAAAATGTCTACAGACTTGTAACTGCAGATTTTTAATTAAAAAATGTCTACATATCTGTAACTGCAGATTTTTAATCAAAAACTGTCTACAGACTTGAAGCTGCAGATTTTTAATTAAAAATTGACTGCAGACTAGAGACAGCAGATATTTAATTAAAAATTGACTGCAGAGCAGAGTCTGCACAAGATATTTAAATTGTGATACAAGATATTGAAGACAGTTCTCAAATTCTCCAATATAAAAATCTACATTTTATAATTACTTTCAAGTACTTCTTAATATCATTAAAATCTCTGCAAGCAATTTCTAAAAATCAGCGTACTACCATAAAAGTTACAAAATTCAGACTACACTTTCCTAAGTGTAAAAACGAATGATTAAAAATCCAAAGCATCAATTCCTAATTTAACTCAGATCTACCAGTCGAGCTTCGCAGATCGTTGCTAGTTGATTAATACCCCACCAATCAGATTTAACTATGAAAACAGAACTCGTTTCCTTACAAAATATTTGTGCCGTTTTATACAAAGAAAAAACTTAAGCTTACCACCCCTTACTATTCTAAATAAAGTATGATACAGAGTTTGTACAAACGCGTCGCGTTACACAACCGATGAAACATCAGTTTGAAATTCCTGCGAGGTTATACGCGTACACGCTCCACGAAATCCGCGTAATTACACTCTAGGAACATTTTGGGGATCGAAGTCCACCGATCCGAGGCTTCCGTTTCCGGTTTCGCGCCTCGTTTTCCGATCGTGTCAGTCGATTTTACCAAGCTAAAAGCATCGACCAAGACGATCGGTTATCAACAGATCGCTCTGTTGGTCGCATTCTTTGTGCCAACTCTGTATAATACATACAGAATCGATCTTCTATTTAATATATAGATAGATAGATAGATAATATAGCTGTAAGTACGAGAAATGCATGACTGGTCGACGTTTAGCTCGCTTGAACTTAAAGTTCTATGTACAAACGTACGTTTAGCGACGCTAAAATCGCTCGAAGCGGGAGCGATTTTCAAGCGTCTCCGCCATCTTGGATCAAGATGGACGCTCTTCGCGTATGATCGGAACTACCGGATTTATCCTGGATAAGACACTATCGACGCGATACGCGAGGTGTAAAATACACTCATCTTTGTGTACAAAGAACGAGCTCGATTTTAACTGCGATTAATTTACAGCTTGTCGTTGTGGAATACAAAATGCTGCTATCGCTCTTACTGATTTACCCTTTAGGTATCAAACAATTCTTTTAATATTGTAATCTTATTTGTAAGACTCGAGTAAGATTTATCAATCTGTTAATATTTATAGCATTGTAACTAGAATTTTTGGTAGGGTTCAATCAAAATATAATTGTAAAAATATTAACACGTCACAAAAATCATTGAGATTCAAAGAGATCATTGTAAGTCCATGACAGAAGTTATGTTTGAAACTTTTTTACTTTCAAGTTTATAATAAACTTGGTACAAACTGTTTAAATCAAAGTTAACGTGTTAATATGTAGTTAATGTGTTAATTATCTAGTACGAAAAGGGTAAATCGTTCGAAACATAGTTTGAATCGATGTCTCAATTTTCGTCAGCGGTTTCAAAGACGACTCTGCGTTGCAATCCGCGCGAAGCATCTCGATTCGTCGTTTCGAATTCGGCTTGAAAAATACATCGCTCGCGTGTCGCCCGAATCGAGAAGCCGGAATCGCAAAAACGTGTAATCTCGAGCGACGAGATTTCGAGACAAGTGAGCCAACGTGTCTTTGCCACAAAGTACGTCCCTGACCGCCCTGCTGCCGCCCCCAGGTCACCCTCTATCGCCGTCTCCTGCCCCATCGTTTCTGTGCTCGATTTTTCATTTTCGTCATTCGCAATTTTGCGTTTCTTTGCAGCCTCGATATCTCGAACTACGCGAGCGAAAAGCGGTTTGATCGTTAAGTTTATTTTTCGCATTGTTCGGTGACAAGCGTGAAATCTGAGGTTCGAACATTGGTGACTCGAAATAATACCTTTAAGAGATTATGTTAATATTATTGTAGTTAAGGAGGTTACATAAAATTGCAGCAGGTTACAGTATTAGTGCAATGTAGGATCATTTATTTAATTTATAATGAATGTGAACATGTGAGGTATCTAAGGTTTTATGAATATGAACATGTGAGGTATCTAGGGGTTTATGAATATGAACATGTGACGAATCTAGGTATTTAGGAATGTGAACATGTGGAACCTAGGGACTTTAAACCTACTTAAATCCTAATACAATGAATGCAAATTTACCATATACAATTAATCCCATATTGCACCATACTGAACAACAAAGAACCAAATTATAAAACAGAGAATATTACAAAACACAGAATATTATAATAACAGAGAATATTATACTAGACAATGTTATAATAGAAACAAAAGACTCAGAAAGGTATTTGAAAGGTCAGAACATTAATTCCCATAAAACAAATGCAGATTTCACGCCTTTCATAGCTGATGCACGCAGTAAGCAAGACCGCCTGGCTACACGAATACACCTTGCCAGACATGCTAATTAGCGATATCTCAATTAATCATTGCTGGACGTTGAAAGCAGTTTTGGAGAAGCAGCAGCACGTTCGCGTTAACGAGCACGACTATAAACGATGTTAAAGACGCTTTCAGATATTCAAGATCAAAGTTGGTTCGACGCTTAAAAATGGAAGTTGGCCTCTAAAATGGTTTCACCTCTAAAAGGCACTCTCCGTACCGAATTATTATTGTCGTATCACCAACTTTTCTACATGGAAGAACTATTCTTCAATGTGCTCGTTAACGAGTGAACGTGCCGCGACATCTTTCTTTGCATCTTGATGGCAAATCGGCCATTACGCACTAGTTACGCAGTTTATTGCTTCGACAAAATGGCGCCGGAGTGAAAGCAAAGCCACTATTTAGCCACGGACTTGCCTGAAGCACAGCGTTGTTCGCTCAAGGTTTCGTCAGATATGGCCGCGTTATTGCCACCGTGTAGTTTCATCCCGCTACATGGCCGTTCGGCGCGATGAAACTCGATTGCACGCTGAATAGAGTCGCGTTCGGATTATCCTTCGAATCGAAGGATTACATTGTATAAAGTCACATGGAGTGCAGAAGCGTGCCTCGATTTATCACTATAAAAATCGTGTTCTCGATCGGAAAGCCCACGGATCTATATTGAGCAGAAACGTTAGCTAGTTCGCTGGTATAGCTTGTGCTCGAAGCGATTACGTTGTCGAAACGTACACGTCGACGATCCGATCGGTCCCTTTGAGCGTCTCAAAGATTACCGGCTCGATAGAAATTCGGTATACTTATCATCTAGGTCTCTTACGTTAATCGTGGCCGCCGATTGGCGACGATAGCACCGGGCGATTTAGATACAATCTCGACGAGAGCTTCTGAGAATCAGATTTTAGTCGGTTTTATAATTCGGTTGTCGAATGCGAGCTTTAAAGAGCTCTGGTTTCAATTCTCTCCAAGGGATTTCTCTACGGTTTTGAATACTTTTTAATATTTGCTTCAAATTATTTTTAATACTTGCGTTAGCACAAATTTTATTTCAGATGTCAGTGTGGTTTTTAGTATATTTATTGTCAAATTGAGTTTGAAGATTATTCATCTAATTTCAAGCAATTTGATGTAGTGGAGACTCATTGGTTGAACAACCCCTTGACTCGTGACGCACTGTGACGCAGCATGTTATATTCATCACAATTGAATTTTGGGTTCAATTCAAGTTTTTGGCTATCGATTTCAAGTAACTTAAGACACGAATGCAGTGGTCTGAGACTCATTGGAGGCTGAACAAGTTTAACACCTTGACAACGTCACACTCGTGACGCACTAGTGTGACGCACCATGTTATATTCATCACAATTGAATTTTGGGTTCAATTCATGTTTTTGGCTATCAATTTCAAGTAACTTAAGACATGAATGCAGTGGTTTGAAATTCATTGGAGGCTGAACAAGTTCAACCCCTTGACAACGTCACACTCGTGACGCACTAGTGTGACGCACCATTGCAACTGAATTTTTGTTAAAATTTTAATTATAATCTTCATAATTAAGGTAATCTTCTTAATGTTCTTTATTTGTCAACATAGCAATTGACAACTATTAATGATTCTTGATAACTATTGTTTCAAACTGAACTACGTAATTAAAAATTTGTACGTCAAGGAGTCAACGCTATTTCAACTTGTGATCTTATAGTATTTGAAGAGTTCATACGAACAGAGCATAACGTACAAATAAAAACCACACGTAACAGAGTAAATCCCTTGGAAGAATATGTAGAGGGTTAACGAACGAGCACCGTGGTTCCCTGAAGGAGGTCCGCGAGGTCTCGACGTGTACGCTTCGCTGGGGCAGGCGAGGGTTCTTCCTAGAAAAGTAGAAAAGAAACCCGGGTGCGGCGAGCGTCCCCCTTGGCCCGTCGGGCCATCCCAAACTGTCAGACGGACGGGTCGCTGCCGGGGGCGGAGCCCGTCTTGCTGCCGTCGACACCAGCACCGCCACCGTCGCCGTCGGCGCCCGCACCCTCTCCGCCCCTGTACGGCGAGCCGCCGGCC